TGTCAATCAATAAAACGGTTGGGAGAGTCAAAATGGTACAAGGTAGAACATAACAATCGTCTGGCTCAGCAACACACTCACACCCACACATACACACACCCGTAACACCAAACCCACGCACACTCACTCCGAATAAAATATACGTTTTGCAGCCTGCTTAAAAGCTGATGGCTCGAGCCGTGTCACATCATTAGGTAGAGAGTTTAAAAGCGATGCAGCTCGGTAGGCAAAACCTCGCCGCCCGGCCGCTGTTCTGGTGGCTGGCGGACGCAGGTCCCCGTCCTGTCTGGTAGAACGATCACACTGTCGTGCATCAGCGAATGAAACGAACAGTGAGGCGAGCTCCTCGGGCTCCCCCAGGGCACGCACCCTGTGTGCCACAATCGCAGTCTGCGCGTCACACATCTGGCGCGGTGTGTGCAGGCCCAGGTCGCCCCGCGCGCGAGACACATGATCGTATCTGCGGAGACCGGCTACTACTCTGGTGGCAAAATTCACAACCTTTAACAGTCTTAAGTCGTTAGCCGCGGAGCCGTTCCCGTACACAGACAGACAATATCTCACGCGCGAGACGACCAGGCCCTGCACGATTGTAAGAAGCGCCCGCCGCGGGAGGAGGCGCCTCAGGTGGCGGAGACCGATCAGGAGGCCGACACATCTGCGCACCACGTCATTGACATGGGCATCCCACGTAAGGTGGCGGTCAAAAATGACCCCCAGGTTTTTAACATGTGGGCTCTCCTGAACGGTCCCGCCACCGACCCGTACGCTGACAGGAGGGAGATCTCTGGTATTCTGTCGGGTGCCAAGGAGGAGGATTTCCGTTTTGGATGTGTTGAGTTTAAGTCCGTGGGCATGGAACCACGATGCCAAGGAGGTGAGAGTAGACTCCATGCGTTGGATAAGGTTAGGAAGGTTTTGTTTGGTATCGGAGATAGATTTGGGTATCGTCAGCGTACTGGGTCACATGAGCGCCCGGCGCGTGCAGACTGAGGTCGTTGGCGAAAATGGTGAATAACAGAGGACCGAGGGCTGATCCTTGGAAGACACCAATGGTGTTAGGAAGGGGCTTCGAAACCACTCTGCCACCGGAAGGAGAAGAGATGCAGACAGACTGAGTATGACCGGTAAGGTAGGACGAAAACCAGGTCGGGTGGATACCATAGAGCTGGAGCTTGGAAATTAGCAGTGAGTGCGGAATGACGTCAAAGCATTTACTGAGGTCCAGAAGGCAGAGGAGGGAGATGAGACCACGGTCCATGTTGGAAAAAGTGCGGTTGGTTACAGAGAGCAGAGCGGTTTCGGTGGAATGGAGAGAACGGAAACCGTGTTGGGATGAGGAAAGGAGGTGATTGTCACACATGTAGGCGGAAAGTTGTCGGTGCACTAGGCGCTCGACAACTTTGGCTATGGTGGGGACGATCGAAATAGGACGGTAGTTGGAGATCAGATCAGGATCACCGGACTTGAAAATGGGATGGACAAGGGAGTGCTTCCAAGAATCGGGATAGTCACAGGTGGAAAGACAGGCATTGACAACATGGAGCAGGATGGGACCAATGGCTTCGAAAGAAAGGAGCAGGATGCGAATACAGACGCCGTCAGGTCCACACGCACCGGAACGCTTCATCGAGAACACCACCCCCCGCAGCTCCGCCAATGTCACCTCGGCGACCCGAAAACCACACGCATCAACACGCGGCAGGCGGCACGGAACGTCGGGCGGCACCCCGGAGCCAGCCAGGCTAGCCGCGACACGTGGGCCGACGTCGACAAAATATGAGTTCATTTCATCAGGTGTGGCGGTGGGGAGGGTTGCGGTGTCACTTCGCTTACTGGCGACCAGCGGGCGGACAATGCGATAAAGAGAACTGCTACCTTTATCACGCAGTCTCGCCCCCATGTCCGCCCGGCAGTCGCGCCGGATCGCCGCCCTCACCCTCCTGTCAAGTGCGCGGAAGGCCGGCGATCTCCCCTCACGGCGCAGCACACCCCTCCTCTCCGCCATCAGACACAGGGTCGCCGAGGTGACAGCCGGCGCACACGGGTTCCTGATACAGGTAGTTCTGAGCGGGGCATGCTGGGCCTTGCGCTGACAGGTACGAAAATTCGATCACCTTTAAATATTACTCCCTTGTTGACAGATAACGTGCTCCTGAGATCGAAATACCTGCGTGCTTCCATCGGTACATCACTTTTATGTTTTGGCCATCCTTTGCTGATGAGTTCTGCGAGTGTGCATGCTTCCATGTCGTTTTCTGACTCTGTTCTCAGGAAAATAGCCGTTTTGTCAGATATCGGCAGGTAGTCTTCTATCTCCAGTTGTTCTATGTTAGCTTCTTCTTGGCATCTTCCAAGTGAAGCATAGTATATTTCATCCAGATGTTCCGTGTTCGTATCCGGGAGCTGAGCTCTGCTAAGTGTATCGGCTAGATGCATGTCAACTCCCCTTTTGTACTCTATATGGAAGTCGAATTTCTGCACCGCTAGCATCATCCGTTGCAAGCGTTTCGGTGTTTCAGCGAGGCTTTTGAGCTGGATCTGTTCCAATGGCTTGTGGTCCGACTGTATTGTCACCTCTCTTCCCAAGGTGTACCGTTCGAACTTGTTCAGTCCGTAGACAATCGCGAGCATTTCTTTTTCGATTTGGGCATAGTGTCTCTCAGCGTTGGTGAGCGTTCGAGAGGCATAGGCGACTGGCTGACCGCATTGCATTAGACACGCACCAAGCCCCTCTTGAGACGCGTCCACCTGGAGACTAGTCTCGTCTTTGGTACTTGAAGTATTTGTCAACTCATTTTCTTGTAGAAGCCTTCGTCTGACGTTGTCGTCTTGTATACCGATAATCACCCGGTCTCGGATTAGACTTTCCTCCAGGGATCCAAAGTTGCATGTTTTTGCTAGTTGTCTCAGGCTTGTAACGTATTCGTCCACCTTCTCCTGGTTTTCTTGCTTACGTATGTTAAACTTGTACCGTTCGTACGTTTCGTTTGGTTTGACCACGCAGTAGGCTTGGAACTTTGCTACGACCGAAGACACGGATGCCTGTTCTTCTTCACTTGTGCACAGACCATCCAATATCAGCAGAGCCTCCGGACCGATGCACGTCAGGAATGTGGCAACCTGTACCTCATCTGGCTTCTCTTGTAAGCCTGTGGCAATGGAGTAGTTTTTCCACTGTCGATGCCATAGCTTCCATGTTGTGTCTAAATTATCGTGGTTTTGTCTCAGTTTTAACGGACCTGGCAGAGGCAAGTTGGCCATAGCAGTGATTGCATGAAAGTATATCAGTTATTTTGTTCCAATCGAAAGTTTATCATTTCAGGTCTATGTGAAAAATACAAAATATTTACAAATAAGATACTTTCACTTCTGACACCATGTGGCGTGATGCTAATCTCTATTTTTCACTCACTATCACACACAACACAAATAACACAGAACGTGACATAATCACGTGACACTTATCCGGCTGCCTACATCTAAGCAGCCGGCACAGTGTCGATCTCATCTGAAATGACGTCACAGTGACGTCATAAGTAAAATTATAGATTTGCGACTCTCAGTTTCCTCACGATATATCAGAAATATGGGACCGTATATAAAGGGCCGATTATTGGTCAGGAACTAGATGGAAGTGTACTTAGGTGTTTCAGGATGAGAGCAGGTGCTGTCTAGTTCATTTACAGTTGAGTTTCATGCTCAGCGACATCAGAAACGGTCCGTATCGGAAAACGACAATATCTTATGAGTCACTGTGACGTCATCTTAAGTGCTACAACCACCAGAATTTGCTCAAACATTGCCTAGGTAGTCATTTGAAACTACGTTGAGTTTCACATTAGTAGCTTATCAGGTTTCGGAGATATTCCACAGAACGTAAAGGGGGGGGGGCAATTTTATGCCCCCCCCCCCCCCCCCAGCGGCTCGTGGGTTAAACATGCATAAGAGCTACAGTCTGACCGTCGAGGCCCTCGAGGTGGCCTCTGATGGCCCAACGCCAGCCTCTGAGGTCCCAGCTCCAACCTTAAACTTCAGAGGACAGGGGGCCCCACGTTAACCTAAGAGGGCCTACATTGTCCTTAGATAGCCCCAAGCTGAGCTGTTCCCAGTGGGCCCCAATCTGGCCTCAGAAGACCCCACGCCGCTCGTCTTAGAGGAACCCACGCTGCCCTTATATTACCCCACGCTGGTCTAAAAGGGCTACGCACTGACTTCTTTGGGCCCCACGAAGGTCCCAAAGCGGACTCTAAATGACCATGCTAGCCTCCGACGGCTCGACTTCGGCTTCTGAGGGCCCTACGCTGGCCTCCAAACCTTTGGTAGAAGTTTGTTTAGACATGTTTAGGTATGCATAACTGATTAGGCAGGATTTTGGTATACCTTTACCTACGGTATATGGTATGTATGTTAGGTGTGGTGTGAAGGTCCGCTTATACGGTGTATATTAGGTGGTATAATATGACATTGTGGAGTCGGGTTTGTCCCCATCTCCCCAGTCGAAATTCCTTAGCCGAGGTACTGCTGTGTGACTGTGTCAGTCCTGCTGTGTGACTGTCTGTATCTTATACATCCTATCCATCCTAAACACCCTATACAGCTGGTGTTTCTAAGTGCATTAGGAGGTAATCGCCAGGGGTCGTACCAGCCCCTCTACCCTCACCGTCCGCGTTATGAAAAATGCCCGGCCAAGGGTAAACATACGTAGTAATAACGTTTCTTTATTATCTCTTTTTTTTGCAAAACACTAGAAACGATCGTAAATTTCTGCATTGTTACCTAAGACCTGTCTGCCTGCCTGCCAAGCTTGTTTGCCTGATATGCAACAATGCGGGTTGCATGACAAAACATGTCGTAATACGATACGACATGTCGTTTTGTGACGTGATTAGACACAAAGCTGCAAGACATGACGTAATGCGTGCCACGTAACACTACGCACCATGTCACCTTTATATGATGAGTAGAAACGAAAAAAAAACTGTAATTCTGCATTCCAGATGGAGATGACAGATGTGCGTGAAGACCTGGCCGCCCTTCGCCGGGAGATGGCCTCACTGAGCAAAGTGGTGGCCGGTGCGGTGGTCCGCCTGGAGCAGGCAGTTATCGAAGAGCGGACCACTCGCCAGACCGTGGTGGAGGATCTGCGGCAGGAGGTCCGCCGGCGAGCGGCGCCATCCGGCCGTCCCCAGGGGTGAGACTGGGAGGCAGCAGGGGTGGCTGTGGGGGCTGAGAGATTTCGGAGAGCTGTCATGGTGAGAAGTAAACTTTCATTGTAGAAGGTGTAAGAAATAAAACATCACCAGGTCTTTGAAGGTCGAGTAACTTGTTCTTGTAATTTCCGCGCAATTAAAGAAACATGTCTTGAATTCGTACTATCTTTTGCAAGTCAGCGGTTTAGTCTCGATCGTATTGTTCCAGTTTTCGACAGACGTCCTGCAATCTGTATACAGTTGGTTAGTTTGGGGCATTATATCCCGCACGTATTTACATGTCTTCATCAGCAATCGTGTCACAAAATCTAATCGGTCGTATCAAATCGTTCAGAGTCGTATCAAATCAACTTTGAACGATTTTATGCAACCGATTAGATTTGACGATACCATGACTGACGACGATGATATGGAAATGTATATCGAAATATCAAATGAGCCGACAATAAATGCGGAATTGTTATGCCTGATCAGTAGATTTATCGACTTCTGTTCTTTTTTTCAGTAGAGCTAGAAAAATGGCCGATGACGTCATAGTACAGACGGAGCCCCAATCATCGACAGTCAATGACGTCACAGTACAGACGGAGCCCCAGCCATCGATCGCCAGTGTATTTAAAACGCTTAGAGAGGCGCTCGGCCTTGTAACCATGACGAAGCTCGACGCTCCGTCAGCCCTTGGCGAGGATCAGCTGACGGCGCTCCTGCAGAGTCTTCCCCGCTTGGAGGAGCTGACCGTCAGGGTCCCGTCCTTCGGAACGGGGCGGTGGCTGCAGCTGCTGCCGACGTCACTGAGGACGCTATACGTTACCGGTGAGAATATGTTGAGGAAACGCGTACTATTACTTCTGAATGGTGATTGGTGAATGGTGAAACATAGCACATAACGTATCAGCTTCAATGATAACTATTCAGCCGACATATATGTGCCATGCTACCTACATGCTACACAAACATTAGCCACTGTACTCGAGGGCAGCGCTTTTCGAGCAGCGCTGCGGCCCGAAGGTTGGGACTTTGAATTGCGAAAAACGTCCGCCCGCCGCAAAACGCCAACACCGCAAAACGTGCAAAACGCACGCCGGAAACGCCAACGCAAATATCGCAAGAAAAAACAAATAAATGCCCGCCAGCCGCGAACCGCAAAAAAACGCAAAACCACCCGCATCGCACGCACGCTAACCGCCAACTGAAAACGCCTATAAAGCGCCCAACCGCCACCAACCGCCAACAAATTGAACACCGCAAACGACGCAAAAAAACGCCCGCATCGCCCGCACGCCCGCCGCCAAACACAAACACTGCAAAAAGCACAAAATGCCCGCCCGCCGCAGAACGCAAACACCGCAAAACGTGCAAAACGCACGCCCGAAACGCCAACGCATACGTCGAAAAAATCGCCCACGCAAACCGCAAAAAAACGCAAAAAAACGCCGCAAAAAAATAAACCGCCCGCATCGCACGCACGCTAACCACCAACCGAAAACGCCTAAAAATCGCCCGCCAGCCCCCAAACGCAAACACAGCAAAAAAACGCCCGGCCGCCGCAAACAGAAAACAAACCTCACATAGAAAAGGACGCAAAAACGCCCGCATCAACCGCCCGGCCGCCGCTAAGCACAAACACAGCAAAAACGCCCGTCCGCCGCAAAACGCAAACAACGCGCGCAAAACGCACGCCCGAAACGCCAACGCAATTAAGACCAAAGTGACGCGAGGCGTTACATGTATGTATATGCGTACCTGACAGTAATTTATTAATACATGAAACTGATAAAAGATTCCTTAATTTTAGCCCATTTAGGCACTTACCCGCGCACCGACGGGGGTCTGCGCCAACTTCGTACCAACACAGGGGGGGGGGGCGGATGACCGCCTGTCTACATTTTTAAAAATGGTCTACAATTTTTACTGAGGTCATTTTCAGGTCATGTCAAAGATGACGTCACAGGGGTCAAAAAGTCAAAATGGCGGCGCTAGATATGGAGAGAGTTTTTCTCGAATAACTTTCGGATTAGTCAAGATAGGAACAATCGAAGGGCACCATCGTGATCCTCTCGTCAATCCGCATCGAATGATATATACGTTGATCTCGAAACGTCAAGGTCAAAGGTTGACCTCAGGTCACGTGACCTCGAGGTCATCATGTATATCATTTGATGCGTCTTGACCAGCTGAACACAATGAGACCATCTGCGCGGCTGTATCTTGTTCCTGTACGGAGTTATTGGCAAAAAACCTTTGGTGACCTTTGATGACGTCACATGACCTTACAGCTGTCCAATAGCAAAACAGACCTCAAGGTAGTGTCGGTTGATCGTATATGAAGTCATGTATGGTATATGGGGCCATTCCGACCCGTTTTAGTGGTAAAAACAGGGAGTTGATTTTCCCCCATTGACTTATAATGGGGAGGTCGAGAAATTGACCTGACTGACCTTAGGTCACCGATATCAAAATTCCGAGATAAAAAAATTGTAGCTACTACTTTACCTATTAACATCCTGCGACCTTCAAAGGCCTCCGACATCTACTGTAGCTCTGGCACGGTGACAAAGTTGCAAAAAAGCGACTTGAGGTTGGGTCATTCAATGTGACCTGGTGACCTGACCTTAACCCGCGCCCCGTTGGGATCTGCCAAGCAACGCGCCCCGTTGGGGGGGGGGCATTTTGGCCCCCCTAAGATCTCGAGAACCACGCAACCTAGCGACAAACGGCAAACGGTGTTGGATAGCCCTATCAGGGAACTACCTTGTGACCCAATTTTATTGACCCAGGTCAAACCGATGACGTCACAGGTCAGGTCAAAGGTCGAATTTTCACCGTTTACAGGCATTTCAAGAAATGCGTTGTAAAATCGAGTAAAATGCATTTTATTGAAAATCATCGATGGGGAAATATTCTTCAAACACATATTTTGCTATTTGAGGTCACTGATACCAGGTCAGGTCTAAGAGGTCAGGTCACTGGGGGTCACAATATGAAAGTGTCGTGTGATACATGTTTTATGTCCCATTTTACATGGCAAATGCGATTATGTGGGTCAGGCAGCCTTTGGGGCCAGCTTAGGTCAAGTTTTGGTCAAGATCAGGTCAAGGTCAGGTCAAGGTCAGGTCAAGGTCAGGTCAAATTAGGTCAAATTTCAATGTTAATATTTTTGCAAAAAATGGGTATCGAATCGATGCAGCTCGTCACGGGGAGTTCAATGGTGGTCTTTGTTTTGCCGTACGTCGTCTAGAATCGCTAAAAATTGAGTTCGAAAATTTGACGTCATCATTTTTGAACAGTTTTTTCGCTATAACTTGGCCAAAAAACGAGATATCGATCTGAAATTTGGTATGTATATAGAAGAGCGCAGGGACTATTACATATTTTCCGTTTTTTTTTTCTAAATTCGTTTTTCCGTTTTTTTTCTCAATTTTTATTTTTTTTTGGGTCAAAAACCCAAATTTTGAAAATCCGAGATAGCAGTTTTGTAGCGCCGCTTTTTGTGCACTAGACCATAAAAAGAACTTTGAAATTGCTTGATAACTGTAGATTTGGTGAGCGTTTCAAGATTGCATGTTTTTTGCTCATTTTTGCTCGAACATGACCTCAGTTTGACCTCAATAACCCGGCCGGCCCCGGGGGGTAATCCCAACCACCGCAGCCCGGGGGGGGGGCGTTTTCGCCCCCCCTGTCTAACTCCGTAAATAAGGGAGCTACGGAAACAAAAGCGATACCAAACGAAAGGTCCTTACGAGACGATTCTAATGCACCTAAAATTTTTGACCTCAGGTCAATTTTCAAGGTTAGAGGTCAAGGTCAAAGGCCAAAACCGGCACATGTGTAGTGATATCAAATTAAGCCTTCTAGAGGACGGCAGGCTGCATCAAACCGAACAAATTGAGTGTCAAACGAAAGAAGAGAATCTAAGGATTCTGAAAATGTGCTCTAAATTAAAGGTCAAGGTCAAGGTCACGCTCAAAAATGACCTCAAACTTGGCACTTTTTCGCACATCTTGCGTGCTAAGTTCCAAGATGTTTTGAAATGTTTTGAGGCTTATCAGTTCCCTATTTGTGGTTCATCTTACAATACAAGGCTGCTCAAAGGTCAAGGTCACAGAAGAGTATCCCTGCTAGAGGCTATTTCACTGATTCAAGTTAGTAATAATAAATAAGACAATTTTGCCATCCGGAAGCTCTAAATGAAGCCTTAGAGGAAAATAGATGCCAGATTCGTGATCAGCGGGTACAAATCCATCATAAACGACCTTTCATGTGTCAAGGTCAACCAGAGGTCATTCGAGGTCACATGAGGTCAACATGAAACTTGACCTTTTCCGAACAAAATATATATCATTCGACGCGGCTTGACAAGGCGAATGCGATGGTACCACTGCCGTAGCTCTAGGACCATTTTTGTCGAAGTTATTTGCGAAAAACTAAAACCACATTTCGGGGTCGTTGACCTGACCTCTGACCTCAGGTCACCAAAACTATTTTTCTATTTTTTTTCTAGGTCAAACGCTACACAGCCGTGCTCGTAATTTGTCTTTATCTCTAAAACTCTATTTTTAGCAGCTATTTGAAGTTTGCGTCTGTGACGCCGAAGTTTGCCGTGCAGGGGTCTAGAAAAATGGACCTTGTGACGTCATCAAGGGGGCTAGGTCCAAATTTTTTACTTCAGAAGATGTCAAATTGATGGGAGAAAATGTACTGAAAGTTTCGCCTTCCTATCCCTAAGCGTTCGGGAGTTATCGCAAATATTCGCCAGGGGGGCGAAAAACGCCCCCCCCGGGCCCGCGAGGGATAACTCCTGACCTAAGGTGACCTAAGACTTGAAATTTGGTGTGAAGGTGTCAAATTGATGCCCGGGAAGGTACTGAAAATTTGGCGGCGCTACCACAGGGGGGGGGGCCAAAATGCCCCCCCCCCCCACGGGGCGAGGGTTAAAAGTTAGGAGGTTCAAACTTGCACACCATGTGTAAAATTGATGAGAGAATAGCCGTACCAAATTTTGCGGCGCTATGCGCCGCGGTTTTCCCGCTATTCGCGAAAAACCTCAAGGGGGGCCGATATTCGCCTCCCCCCGTCGGTGCGCGTGTTAATGGCGCAATAGAGACAATAATGGCGCACAACAGCCTATTTTATGCCTCGATTCATATGTGGCGCACCCTGGTTTTGTGCACTACCGTTGCAAGTTTCGAAGAAATCGGCCAGTCGAAATATACAGACGTAATATTCCTTAACTTTAGCCACTTTAGCTAAAGTAGCGCACTAGAGACAAAAATGACGCACATTTTGTTGTATTCGTTGCGCCGTATGTGGTGCAGGTCATTTTAATGCATCAATGTTACAAGTTTCGTCTAAATCGGCCCATAAAAGGCAAAGTTATGGCCAAAACGCCTTACATTGAGAGTGCACGTGGTCACTCGAGGTGGGGTGCCACGTGCCACCTGCCACGTGCGGCCTAGGGACAAATAACGACCACCCTTTTGTACCACATGAAAGAGGTCGTCAGTGCTCATGGGCAAACTTTTGGGCGCGCCATCATTGCATCCCATTGGCCGATCAAACTGGGCCAATTTTTAAAGGTAGTGCCAGCTTTCCTGGACCGTATGGAGTTAATGGCCCAGATAAGGAGAACCGGATTTTTAGAACTTATCCATACCTTAAAAACTCATGGAAACGTCTTAACCCTCGCATGTGTGCGGCGTTTTCCAGCTTCTAATGTGTAGGGGGGGGGGGGGGGGGGTCGGTTGGACCCCCCTTGCCGTTTGGCCCCTGATCGAGCTAGAGCTTCGCGGAAAAATCGAGCGTGTTGCCCGTGA